ATATATATATATATATATAAATGCATACATTATTAAAGCAGGGACAGGGGTGTCATGATAACCAAAAATGTATATAATCTGCTTGTGACATTATGTAAATATATCCAACCCCCAGCCTTTTAGAGTTAGAGTACTAAACTATCGTTGCCATTCTGGCAATCTCCTGTATTTTACAGATACTACAGCCGTGGTCCTCGGCGTAATGTTGGTGACTGTAGTAATTTCAGGTCTATTTTTTGTTCTCTATAAGAAATGGGTAAGTATGGCAGTCTGTCTTCGCATATTGTTATCCTGCATGAGATATATCAGAAGTCATTTTTTGTAAAAAAAAAAAAAAAAAAAAAAAAAAAGAGAGAATAATGAAATAGGTTTTAAGAACTGTTACATTTATGGATGTGACCGTGCTTCTTTGCATTTGAGTTGCTGTGTGTGTGTCCGTGTATTGTGTGTATGTGTGGTCTGTGGATATACGTATTTATATATACATATTCTTATATACCTATATTTACATTCATATATACATATGTAAGTATATGTATACATGTATATATACATATACACACACGCATATGCACACGCACACTCTCACACAAGGCACACGCAGGCACACACGCACGCACACACACACACACACACACACACACACACACACACACACACACACACACACACACACACACACACGCGCGCGCGCGCGCGCGCGCGTGTGTGTATGTGTGTGTATGAACAGACGCACATATAGGCAAACTGGAAAATTCATTCATACACATACAAATCCACTAACTATCACCGTGATGCCAGAGGCCCGCGAGGAAGGCCAAAGCACCGGAGAAGCGGGCGACCGAGGAGCTGGTGGAGCGGGCGACCGAGGAGATGGAGGCGCTCTTGCCCAATTGCGATTTGCGAAGTTCTAGCTTCGCCTTTGAGGAAAGCGGTCTCGCCACGCCGCTCCTTCCGTCCATGGCGAGTACTTTGCGTCCAAGAAAGTTCGATTTAGAGGAGACTGAGGGAGTCACGAAGGGATGAGGAGTTATTTGGTTATGGTTATTTCCGTTAGATTCGCAAGAGCCGACATAAACAAAAATAGTTTGTTGCTCTGAGATTCTTATTTTCTTATGGTGCATTTATTTGATCGTGAAGGATCTTATTACAAGCTACGTGAATGCGAGATTTTTTTTTACGATGACAGCAACCCAGAAACAACAATAATAACAATGACGATAATGATAGTGGTAAAAATGGTAATACTAATAATACAAATAATGATGATAATGAAAATTATAACAATAAAGATAATAATAATAATATTAACAGTAATAATCATGATAATGAAACTAATAATGATAATAGTAATAAAAACAGTAATAGTAATAATAACAGTAAAAATCATAATAATAGTAATAATAATAACAAAAATAATAAGGATGATAATTATAATGACATAAATTTTGAGTATAGTACAATAATAATGTACATCATCATCATTATTACGGATAAAATAATGACTATGATAATATCAGTGATAAAAATAATTATGATGACAGTAATACTAACAATAATAAGGATGACAATGAATATGAAGATAATAAATATAATATTATTACAATTATTTCGATGATTACTATTATTACTATGAAGATTAATAATATAACAGTCTACGTTAAATCGAGCTCTAGCCACTCGTTTTCAACCCCGTTTTCGATTACCGTCAAATATATTCACTGGAAATGTTTTTTGCGAAAATATTTAGCTTCTGGTTACGTTTACAAAATCCGGGGGAGGGGGGGTCAACGGGAACGTATGTTCAGCCAGTCGTGAGCGTGCCTCGTGTGCGTGACCTCCCACGCCCTTGAAAATCAGTGCAAGGGGGGCACGACCTAGAACGGCTCTGACTGGCTGGAGCAACCCGCCCGTTGACCTGATTGGTCCACTTGTAATATAATGCAGGGGGTAAGACTTAGAACGGCTCTGATTGGCTGGAGCAACACGCCCGTTAATCTGATTGGTCCACACGCTATTCGGGGCCGTATCTTATAAATATAAGATGGAATGGACTACTAACAAGTAACTGCAGTAAAGTGTGGCAATGAAAATCACCTTAAAAAACGTCTGGAGAAATAAATGATAATGTATAGAGAGATAAAAATAAAGACTGTATACGATAAAATAAAATAGTTACCACCGAAAATAAAAAAGAAAATGGAATGCAATTTTTTACCAGAGAACGGATGTTAGCCATTTTAGGCGGTATTCGGATATATTCGTATAAGTAGTTGTACTTGTATTTAAAAATTAAAAGGTAGATGGACCTCAGGATACGCTATAATGATATTAGTGATAATAATTATAATAATAATATAACAAAAATGATGATATTATTAACATTATTATTATTATTATTAGTAGTAGTAGTAGTAGTGGTGGTAGTAGTATTGTCATTATTATTATTATTTTTTTTTTATTATTATTATTACCATTATCATTATCATTATCATTATCA